TAGACGATTTGCAACCAATCTATTGACGAAGAACTATCTGTGGACGGGTTTTGGGCGAATGTAAAAAGAATAAAGAAACACATCTCTAAAAAACCTCAAAAAGCTTTGTGAATGTTAAAAAAACCACAAAAACTAACCGCTCCAAAGCTGTGCGTCACTTGCCGTTTCATAATTGCCTAGAAAAAGATGTGGAAGAATCTGAACGGGAAAATGCTGACGCTTTTCGGTTGATGGACCAATAGCTGGCTCTATCCGAAGAGCGCTGAAAATCCGAAAATTTCGAGATAAAGCTGAGTACTTGAGGACCACACTGAAACATACTTCAGATTCAGACAGCCAACGACGTCTCCACCAGTCGATCGACAACTTGGCCGATGATCATCGTCGACATGAAGCGACGGGGAACGACGAAAGAACGGTTTCAATTGGATCTTAAACAAGTACAAACCTGACTAACTACTTTGGCAACGGGTGGTAGTTCTTATAACCTTTAATAATTAGGTAAGCAGCAAATTAGGCAAGAATAGTTAATAGTAGAAGTACTCCCCTTAACAGTCGATAATTTTGTCTCGGGTAGAATTGAACCTGCGTCTCGCCGCCTCCAAAAAAGGGTGAGACGCGGGTTCGACTCCGCCTAAGGTTCCAACTTTGCATAGCACTCGACACTCTTAGACGCATTCTTATATGATGAAGATTGCTGCCGATTATTCCTCTAATACTCCCTTCAATAAGAAACTAACTAGACAATTAATTAATACATCCTGATAGCATACTCTGAGGCTTTCAGGTCTGTTATAGTACTTCTAAAGAAGTGCTAGACACCTGTTTCGCGTTTCGCCTCATCAGTAGCATGCTTTCGGATCACTCAGTTCCTCGGGGTTACATCCTTACAGTTGAGAAATAGGACGCCGAACTACTCACACTCAAACGCACGGTGAAGGGATCATCGTGGTGTTCTTTCAGAGTGATTGATTGTCGATGTCGTTTGCTTGGCTTACGGCTATCAGCCAGTATATACATCAACACTCTCAATCGACTGTTAGTTTACTACTATTATTGATCTGAGAAAAAACCACGTGATCCCTCACTATACGTTAAGCTGTCATTAGTATATTATTGAGAGTCGATTGAAAGTGTTGATATATATATATTATATATATATGATATATGCATATATATACACACATATATACTGGCGTGATAGCCGTGAGCCAAGCAAACGACATCGACAATCAATCACTTGAAAGAACACCACAGAGGATCTTCGCCCGTACGTTGAGTGCAAACAGTTTGGCGTCGACTCCTCTATATGAAGTGGGTGAATCCCTGAGAAACCGACTGAACCGAAAGGCACCTGTGCTACTAATGAGGCTTAAAGCCGGATACACATGTCTAGCACTTTATAGAGGGCAATAACAGACTTCACAAAAAGCCTGAAAAATGCTGTCAGGACGTATAAATTTGAAGCGAGATCTTAAAATAGTCGATTGGAAGTACCGAAATCATCTAATATTCATACTAATCTCACCTTTGATGATTCGGTAACTAATGTTCGCCTTCCGAAGGGCATTCGTGACGGCATTTGAGATCGTGAAATCTCCGAATCCATTCTGCTCCGGGACGATGACGACTTTGACGTTAGCTGCATCATTGAGGAGGGGAGATAAGGTCGATAATGATAGGGAACAATTCACTAATCGTCGGAACAGTACGCTGGGGAGTCGGACCCTGAAGAACACCTTGTTCTTTATAGAAAGATTATTTTTGGAATAAAGAAAATGCAAGATTTCTAAGATTTTTAGGAGTAAAGAAGAAGCGATTGTAAGAAGAAGTAGGTGGAAAAGTAGGAGAATTTATAAGAAAAAAGGAAAGAAAAGAAAGATTATCTCTCGTAAGAATAGTGCTAGTACGCGGCTCCGGTACAGATGGAACACGCGGGGTTCAGCTCCCTTTTGGGATCGAATTTTTTCATATAATCCAGCTTCCCTCAGTGTGTAGAAAAGAAGTATTTGAAAAAAAATCACTCCCACCTGTATGCCGAACGAATGGCCGATCCGGTTGGGCGGCAATCCAGGATACATGTCGAGTGAGGTTCGGTCCTCATCAGGTGATCCAACTCCCCACCACCGATGAGCTCGTCCTGATCGAATGAGGTGGAAGGAGTAGAAATGCTTATCATACCTTGAATGAAACAATCCATCAACTGGCCTCCATTATTATTGAAGAATTAAGAGGAGATACACATGAACAGGACGAAAGCGAAGAGGAATACAAGATGAACGGGGTATTTTTGATGGCGGAAGGAGGTAAGAGTTGGAGAGGGAGGAGCTTGTACGGAAATTAACTCAACTCTCAACAGTTAACCCTTGCGGGACCGAGGACTCACGGCCTCCACATCTCTAACTGGCAACTCTGGACGGTCTGCTCCATCTCCTCTGCATCTCTAACCTCCAGTGTGCTGCTGCGTCTAACAATGGCAGGTCGTTGCGTCTGATAATGCTGGCTGCTGCGCCTAACAATGGCACGTTGGGGTTAGAGATGGGAAGAAAGTGGAGCAGACCGTCCAGAGTTGCTAGTGAGAAATGCAGAGGCGGTGAGTCCACGGTCCCGAAAGGGCTAGCAGTGTTTTGCTTTGATAAGCTCAAGAGACGAGGCTTTTATGATGAAATTCATCTAAGCAGCCGACATTTTTGGGGAGGATTTCATCTTCTTCAGAGCCTGTCGATCTTGGGAAATGAATCAACAGTTTTAGACGTCCTCGTCTTCTTCAGAGCCGCGATGAGCCGTATAGATGAAAGACCAGAGATGAAGGAAAGTAGAGGAAGGAGAGAAAAAAGGAAAAGGGAAAGAAAAGAAAGAAAAGAAAAGATAAAGAGACGAAGGAGAAGACCACGCCACACGACGAGGAAGAATCCAACTGTGGACGATGACGACAATAGACTCGAATGATCGCGGCTCGAGGGAAGACGAAGACTTGGGAAACGGTCAAATCTTAATTGTTTCTGACAAACCAATCGATTTTATTGATTTCGAACTATCGGCCTAATCAATAAAGAATATGTAAATGACCAGTAACGCCAAGGTTAGAGGAAAATCGAGTTTCCAACAGATTTATAAGACGTTTTTCCAAGGAAAAGACCATGTAGAGAAAATTTTAGAAGCGAAGCCCACCGAGAAATGCTGGATTTTTGATCTATTGGAGATCATGAAATACATTAGTTTTACTTTTTGCTTCAAATCGAACATGAAACTAATAAAAAAGGAAAAAATACGGAAGAAAAACGACGAGATTGATGATATTTTGGTAAGGAAACTCGGAAATCACCTAGACTCTGAACAATTTTGAAACGTGTCAGAAGAGAAAACGAGAGAAGAAAAAAAGAAAAAAAAGAAAGAAAAAGAAGGGGAAAAGGACGGATTGGAGGACTTACACAAGGATGCTTGGTGAACCATTGTATAAAACTGGCTGAAATAGAAGAAAACGGAATAAAGAGAGAAAGAGAAGAAAAAAGAAGAAAGAAAAAGCAAAAAAAAAGAGAAAAGTAGCCTAGATGCTCTATGTGTAAAGATGCGTGGAAATCCCGTCGGGGAAAAGTGGCTGGAACAGAAGAGAAACAAAAAAAAAAGGAGAGAGAGAGAGAAGGAAAAGAAAAAGAAGAAGAAAAAAGAAAGGAGAGAAGAGCAGTTTAAGAGGTTCTATACGTGAGGATGCTTAGGTAATCCGTCGTAGAAAACTGGTCGGACTAGAAGAAAGAGAGAAAAAACAAAGGAAGGAAAGAACAAAAGAAAGAAAGAAAGAAGAGAGAGAATGAAGAAAGAACAGGCTAGAACGATGCTGGGGTAATCCGTCGTAGAAAACTGCTTGAAAGAGAAGAAAAAAAAGAAAGAGGAAAAGAAAAAGCAAGAAAGAAGCGAAAGAAAGGTGAAAAAAAGAAAGAAGAAGAGAAAGAGAGAGAGAAAGGAAGGAGAGAAGGGAAGAAAGAAAGAAAACGAGAAATAAGGGGGTTCAAGGAAAGGGGGACGAGGTCTCAGGAGCGTAGCACTCCGAGGACTTTCAGGATTCAAGCCTTCTTCCCTCTCTCCTCCCCCTCCCCTTCCCCCTCCGTAAAACCCGGAAAACCCTTTCGGGGATGAGAGGGAGAGCGAAAGAGGAGAAAGAGAAAGAGAGAGGGCAAGAAAGAAAGAAATAGAGGAGAAGAAGGGGTTCAAGGAAGAGGGCCGAGGTCTCAGCAGCGAGGTGCTTCCAGCACTTTCAGGATTCAAGCCTTCCCCTCCCCCACCCTCGTGGAGTCCCTCCCCCACCCTCGTGGAGTCCCCTCCCCTTCCGTCCCCCCGTGGAATTCCCTTACCCTCCCTTCGTCCCGTGGAAACGTAGAAACAAAGAAAGACATCTGGAAGGTGATGGATGAGATAAATGACCGGAAACAGCCCCGTCGGATGGGGCGATGAGATGAGCGAAGAAGTTCCGATCATTTTTTGCTTTCTTTCTCTCAACACTTCATCAGCAGCGATTATGTCACATGCGCAGGAAACGGAAGGAGACGGCCATGATGGATGGAAGCATAGATGGGATGAAAGCCCCCTTTTGGTGAAGGAAGAGAGGGGGAGAGAGAGAGAGAGAGAGAGCAAGAGACGGAAGAGGAAGAGAGAGAGAGAGATGGAAAGGAAAGAAAAGAGAAGAAGACGAAGATGAGGAGCGTCGATGGTGCGAAGGATGAGGACGATCCGAAAGAGAATCCAGGGAAGAAGCCGGCTCAGACCAGCCCGGTCGGTCGGACCGCCGGCCGGAAGGCGGCATCTCCGTCGTCGTCGTTCTCCTTTCGCTTGACGAGCAGCCGGGCGGCGACCGGAAGCGCCCGCCCCCGCCCACGCGCCCGCGGTGGTCCCATTACGAGAACGACCGAGTGCAGGAAGGATTCGACCGATCGACTAAGTACATAGGCTTTATGGGTGTCGGTGAGTGGGTAGAGCAAGAATCTCGACTGGTTTGGAAAATCGGGAGCCTCAAGCTGGAGTTGAAACCCACGTTTCACTCTCTACCGGGACGCGTGCTAACCACTGCACTAGCGAGGCTCCTGCTCTGCTATCACTCTTTGTGTGTAACAGGTGGGAAAAGCATCAGCACTGTTGGGCTAAAGGCAGCCGAAATGAGCCGAGGAACCTCTGAGAGATTCTAGCGATAGATTCAACTGCGAAACCACCATGATTACGGTAATGACACTGTCTCAATGGATACATAACCAGTGAAGTGCAGTCAAGAAGGTCAGAATAGACGTTAGAGCTCTCGACGTGAATCGACTAATCCCTGAGGGATGCGCCGCCATGCATTCGACCTTATCAAGCATCGTTAGGGAGATGATTGAATTTGCGTGTCTGATCTAGAGAATAATGACTCGTGGGTGGCCAACAGATCTAACCAAGTCAGTGCTATTATCCTCACACGTTGGGCACCAATCTGTCGACTCCGGACGGATGGAAGACTTGGTGAACTTTGAGCAGAGAATCGAACCAGCGACCATGTGTGTATCACAGGACACCACTTTACCTCATGTGCCCACACGCGCCACACTTCGTACCTTTTCATTCAAGACTCGAAAGATATCTTGCAAACTTCGACAAAAACTGAGCAGCGTTGCAGAAGAATAATCCTATTTGTTCAGTGATGCAGTTTACTCTATGATTATGTGCACATTGCATATGCTTCCATTTCAAATCAAGCGTGATAAGGCCACCTACAATCAGAAAAAGTCGTGCTCGGAAGTTCCTTCGAAAGCTATGGATACTGTAGGATTCCAGATTCTCTGTGTGAAAATAAATAATGGTTCTAACAAAACTACTTCAGATATATTAAATTAAGCGAAATCATGAAACCAGGTCAAACATGCTTCTTAGCATTCCAAGTCACAATAGGTTTACGACTGCTTTTTGATCGATATTAGGCCTACAGAAGTCATTTACTTGAAGGATTTAATGCTTTCAAAGTGAGGAGAAATTTTGCTTGATTGGTAAGATTTAGCTGCGAAAAGAAAAAGACGTATCAAATTTTTATGTTATTCGCAATTTGAAAATGATACAGTACCCCACTTCTCCAGTAAGCCTCGTTCAAATCGTTTTTTTCCTACTCGCACATATGAGATGCATATGACTTATATGCACCAAATTTCTACCTAGATAAGGATTTTTCGTGAATAAACGGAGCAGAAATGTGATAAGATGAGCAGAACAATAGAAAAACAAGTACCCTAAAATTCCCAGATAAGAGCGGTTTAATTTTTGCAAAAATGGGACGGGACAAACACGAGCGCTTTTCGACAATGAAGTATTTTTTTGAAATATTTCCCAAAATTTTCTCAAGATTCTTAACGGATATAAATCACTAATAATCACTAAATTAACAAAATCACGAAAAAATGTTGAAATTACTATTAAATTACTACTAAATACTGTTTCAGCATAAGCTGCTCTTCGCTGTGGAATTTTCGAGCGGATAAGATGTTAGTGCACCAACGATACTTTGTGCCAACCTCAAGATTCTAGTAGGATGAAAATCATAGCCTGTATAACTCTGGAAGTCAGCTTATGTTACAGATTGACTGAACAGATGTTGAGATTGAAATTGAAGTCATAAAGAGTGGGAGAGCTTAAACAGCTGCCATTTGTCGCTGCTGGCCAGTACCCTAGGGAAACAGAGCGAAGTGATGAGAACAAAGAGGTACGAAATCAGACACATCTTGATGGAAGGGAACAATCCTACGAATGAGAATTGAAAATACGAGCATGATTTCGATTCTGAGTGCTCTATTTGAACAATGAGAGGAGAGCACAGGTATATCAGAAGTAATATACATCACCTAACTGACCTGCAAACAGATTATACTATATAAGATTCGTAAGAATCAGAAGAAGTAATGAGAAATGAGAAAAAGGCGATTATCAAGTGATCAGTTATTGATTTTCTATTCTCAACTCCAGTTCAAAGTCCATAATCACTCTTTGTAATTATTATGTCTGATTTGACTCTAGGTAGCTGATAAACGACGGTTCATTCGAGATACCCAGGATTACCGAACAATCTTGAATGGTTCCGATCTATACCGAAACGAGTTTATCACGAGACGAAAAGAGAAAGAACGATAGGGAAAAGCATGACGAACATAGGTCAAGCACTAGGAATGTCACTAGGTAAATTGAAAGCCTAAACGCGTAAATGGAGTGTGGGCCATCTCTTTTGCGGGGTCAAACAACACTTGGTTAAGAAACAACTATATAGAGTGTGGGCACTTCTTCGGGACTGTTTCCGCTATCGGGAGTTCGATATCGTTACACCATTACAATCATTAGAGAGGGGTAGCAATCCTTCTTATCGGGTTTGATAGCATCGATAGAGAGCGCCTCTTCTCGTTCGATAGATCTCCGTGAGAGGTTTTTTATCTTGTTCTACACAAAATACCTGCAACCATAAAACAGCGTCAGTTCAGCGTTCATGACTATGTGGTTATGAGTTAACGGGTAAGTGATGATGAAGAAGAAATAAGCCTACTTAATGTGGAGCGCAATCTCAGCATCGCAAATGCAAATTGGTTTTTGTAGATTGTTGATTTATGAAGTTTGATCCTCTAAATGTGGCTAGCGAATAATTGAGATGTTGACGGCTGATTCTAGCGGATTTGAATAATAGAGTTACGCCGACGAGAAGCTTAGCTTAAGTATATAATCAGTAGGACGCCTTAAGAGAGCACGATTATTATTTAATTCTCTTCTAACAACGCCCTCGCCTATCGTACACATATTACTTAGATGATTCCTTGTTTTTATGCTCTCCAATGGCAACCATAATTCATTCAATACTAGTACATCGTTAAGATATGTCAAACGAATACATATTCCTGCATTAAAATTAAATGGATTGTTGAAAAAAGCTCGATAAATGAAAAACAAAGGCGCGGGAGGGAGGGGGGGGGGAGGGGGGTGACAAAGTTTATGCCATAGTCGCAAAATGATGTGAAAGATCTTTCAATGAGATCGAGATAAGCACTTTAATTGGTCAGCGAGAATATTTCAAGCCATTATGAGGACGCTACGTACGATTAGGGCAATCCTGCCCGCCTCATCAGAGCCCCGCAGGTCACCTTGGATAGTAGGGATGGAAAAACGTTTTTACGTTAAAATAAAACGTGAAATTGTGGTCTTCACGTTCTCATCATTTTAATCCAGTCGAGCGACATATAGCTGTTATTTAGACAGTGCAGACTGATAATTTCTAGTGTTTCTAATGCAATTTCGCATTGATACGATGTTTCCAACACACCTAAGAGAATTAAGTGGTGAGTAAAATCAAGACGTCAGAGGGGAGACGAACCCGCGTTTCATATATCAAGGACGCGTGTTACCACTATATTACCGAGTTACATTTGTGCCACCATGCATCGTACATTCGACTGCTTTATGAAACCTCGTTATAAACAATCAATATTGTCAGAGAGAATGTTTTAAGCCATTTTGAGGTACGTACACTACGTACGTCTCTGTGGTCTCGCCCGCCTCATCAGAGCCACATGCCCCGTAGGACCCCTTGCTTTACTTAGATTAAGTGATGACCATTGAATGCATCGAGTTCTAGCAAAACTTTGTTCATGTAAGCACTAACTATAAAACGATTTCTGATCACCTATCACGAAAACTTGTGGAAAAAAATGAACTGCTCTAACGTTGGCGCGTCATCGCTCATTGGAGTACGGCACTGTGAACGTGAGCAGATCCGATAAGGCGATCTTTTTTTTTTGGGATCACTGAACATTCAGCCATGAGAGTGGCATAAAAGCATGTCTATTCAGTGAAAAAATTCATGTGTCTTCGAATTGGGAACAACGGCGACCATATATTTCTCAGTGGCAAAAATGACGGTTACATAACAACACGAGGCGATGATTCGTCTATGAAACGGTAACATTATTCAGAGAGATCGCTTTCTTCGAAAAGACTTTTATATGATGGTGTAGACATTCTGTTGTGTTCACATTGATACACTCTGTTAGACTATTTAGGAATGGAATTGAAGGAACAGTGTTACTCTATTAATAATGTAATGAATAACAAATAAGTATGAGAATGAGTGGGCAGTGAAATGGAGTGTGACGATTGCGTGAGAATACTATTTCTGGCTTTTCACATTACCAGGAAGTGAAGTAGGCTGTCTTGTTAATTGGTTAGTGTAGTACACATAGTTCAATTAATAAGCCAATATTGAATGGGAAGATACACTGGAGTGAGATTTGTGAGAATTTGTGAAGGTTAAACGGCGAGATGTTGACTGTGACAATCATAGAAGAGGGAAATAAAAAAAAGGATGAAGTAGACTTTTAGAGCACAGAAAGTCGAGTAAAAAAGTAGTAAAAGATGCGGAAGATCCGCATATATCGCTACATTGACAAATAACAGCACAAAAGTAGCTCGGAACCTTTTGGAGAGTTGTGATCTCATCAATTTTTTAAGATTTTTCTGTATGACTTCTTTGAATAAGAAATTACCAGGGCACGCTTAGGCTTAGGCTTGAAAAATTGGTGAAACTACAACGTTCCACTAGCGTCGCAGAACTCCTTGGTTAGAATCTTATGTGAGAAGCTGATAACATTTAGAGGTTGTACAGAGATTGCTATCACGAAATTTGTAGATAGAAAACCGCCCTTGTCGAGTTTTTGTAAAAGGAGGAATATCTGGTATAAGAAGTTGGCAAACGCTGAAAGCGTTGAAAATTAATTGAACTGAGACGCCAAAAAAAAATGCATGACTAGACCAGAAGCGGAAGACTTAAATTGAACTTTGGAACGGGTTTTTCGAGTTGTAACTTGTAATTTGAAATATATCCTTGTTTTCAAATTCAAATGCGACGAAAATTGATACGAAAGGAAAAGTATCAGTCGTTAATTGCCATATTTATATTCGATTTTCTTTCAAACAAAACTTCCATTCTTTAATCAATCAACTTCTCGTATAGGGAAAGAAAAATATAACGGAAACTGAAAAAATGAAATTTGAGAAGGTTTTCGGCCCGAAATGATTTTATGTCGTCAGTT